TGATTTCGAAGATGAACTTATCAATCAGTTGTCTATGCTTCATTATGAAATAACCACTTATGATGCTAATCTTGGTGATCAAAATAGATGTATTATATTGGGAAGTAAATTGGATTTAATATTATCGAATAAAACAGGCGACAATTCAGATAGAGATCTTGTAGAAAGATTACATTGTATTCTACATAAAACAGCATGTAAAGTTGGCATTATTAGTGATACACCCGAAAGTAAAGATAGAGTGATGCTACTTTCAGCCAAACGGGGGGATAATATCCAACAGTTGATACATCGACTTTTGAAATATGTAAAAAATTCTGATAGACAGACAAGAAGATGATCTCATCACAAGATGGATACTTTTTTTGCCATTGTACAAATTTATTGTACAGATTTTATTCATTTGATTATTAAAAATTTCTACAAATATATATATATATATATATATATATATATATATATACTTTCACTGTATATAGAATGTTTTTTTGTAATTTTTAAGTCTTACACGTAACACTAATCGAATTCTTCAAAGGAATTACATATTTATGACAATCAAAAAACTTGATAAAGTATTCAACAGGTTGATTATTGTTTGCGGTTATGAAGTTACAGACTCATCCAAAGAAGTCACATGTTTGTTTGACAGAGAAACATGACAAAACAGCGTTTAAAACTATTACAAGCATATTTTTAGTAATGTTCACACTCGACTACACCAACAGTATGAACAGTCAGTTCATTTTTCGGTGTAGCGTTAGTGTTAAAGTTAAATAAGTCATCTAAAAAAAACCAAAAAAAATTGAGCGAAGAATATCCTTTTCAGTAATTTCCTTTTTCTGGCTCTAGAATTATTTTTTATTTACTATAGCTTGATTCCATACAGTATTTTGGTACAACTATGGAATTTTCAGCCTGTGATATCAGCATGGTCGGAGAGCGTCCTAATCGCTGTACCACCGACGCATGGTAAATGACTTTGAAAGCCTCTTCAACATTAATCTTAGTACATATACATACATAGGCCGTACAACTAGGTGTGTTTGTCTTCGGATTCCCGAACATCACCCTGCATGGTTGAATGAATGGCAAACAAAATCTATCCATAGTGTCATTCTATCTCATCTCGTAGATACAGAAGACAAAATTGATGCTAAAAAGGCTTTCAAAGTAATTTACTGCATACCAACAAATCTTAACTTCATCTTAAGAATTCGTCTACTACTTATTGCTGAGGCTGTTGGAATCTACATTAAGAAGCCTAATATATGTGTCCAAAAGAAGCTAGTTCAGACATTGTCCTTGCCTTGACCTTCTAGGTTTTAATGATTCTCAGTTTTTTGTAGAAATCTCCTAGATTTTAGTTGATGTTCTATCTACTATTACATTTTTATGCTTTTTATTGTTTATTTATTTATTTAGCCGGAAAGAATCACCAACGACAAGAAACTATGAGAACAAACAAAACAAGAACCAATCGTCCAACAAATATGCAGGAGAAAGTGGAGATGGATTAGACACCCGCTGGGTGACATCGCGCGCGCGTCAGACCATTGCTCGAGTGGAACCCGAAAGGGAACCGGGAGGTGGGACGTCCAAGGGTGGCATAGAGGAAATCGTGTGAAGAGGAGTTGGAACAATGTGGACTAACACGGATGCAGGTGAAAAGCACAGCAGAAGACAGGTGCAAGTGGAGACGTGTAGTTGAAGCCCTATGTTCCACTAGGAACCCAAGAGAACAATAATAATGCATAAGAACTGTTTGGTGTTTACCCCAGAGTTATTTTACCAAATATGCGTCTAAACATTATTATTGTTATTAATGCATGAACTCACAGAAGGTGTTCGGTATTAGATGTATGCGTTTGACGGTTACACTGGCCAAGCAGTGTTGCATTTCTTTGACTCTTTTAACAATAAGTAGATAACCAAATAGCAAAAAAAGTTTTTATTATTTTGTGATTTTAATTTTCAGTTGCTGATCTCCCAGGTATTATTGACGGTGCAGCTGATTATAACAAAGGCTTGGGAGCAGAGTTTCTAAGTTTAATTGCTGACTGTTCAATTCTTGCTTATGTTATTGATTGTGGGACACTGTGGTGTAATTATGGTGTCAATCAAATGAATGATTTCGAAGATGAACTTATCAATCAGTTGTCTATGCTTCATTATGAAATAACCACTTATGATGCTAATCTTGGTGATCAAAATAGATGTATTATATTGGGAAGTAAATTGGATTTAATATTATCGAATAAAACAGGCGACAATTCAGATAGAGATCTTGTAGAAAGATTACATTGTATTCTACATAAAACAGCATGTAAAGTTGGCATTATTAGTGATACACCCGAAAGTAAAGATAGAGTGATGCTACTTTCAGCCAAACGGGGGGATAATATCCAACAGTTGATACATCGACTTTTGAAATATGTAAAAAATTCTGATAGACAGACAAGAAGATGATCTCATCACAAGATGGATACTTTTTTGCCATTGTGCAAATTTATTGTACAGATTTTATTCATTTGATTATTAAAAATTTCTACAAATATATATATATATACTTTCACTGTATATAGAATGTTTTTTTGTAATTTTTAAGTCTTACACGTAACACTAATCGAATTCTTCAAAGGAATTACATATTTATGACAATCAAAAAACTTGATAAAGTATTCAACAGGTTGATTATTGTTTGCGGTTATGAAGTTACAGACTCATCCAAAGAAGTCACATGTTTGTTTGACAGAGAAACATGACAAAACAGCGTTTAAAACTATTACAAGCATATTTTTAGTAATGTTCACACTCGACTACACCAACAGTATGAACAGTCAGTTCATTTTTCGGTGTAGCGTTAGTGTTAAAGTTAAATAAGTCATCTAAAAAAAACCAAAAAAAATTGAGCGAAGAATATCCTTTTCAGTAATTTCCTTTTTCTGGCTCTAGAATTATTTTTTATTTACTATAGCTTGATTCCATACAGTATTTTGGTACAACTATGGAATTTTCAGCCTGTGATATCAGCATGGTCGGAGAGCGTCCTAATCGCTGTACCACCGACGCATGGTAAATGACTTTGAAAGCCTCTTCAACATTAATCTTAGTACATATACATACATAGGCCGTACAACTAGGTGTGTTTGTCTTCGGATTCCCGAACATCACCCTGCATGGTTGAATGAATGGCAAACAAAATCTATCCATAGTGTCATTCTATCTCATCTCGTAGATACAGAAGACAAAATTGATGCTAAAAAGGCTTTCAAAGTAATTTACTGCATACCAACAAATCTTAACTTCATCTTAAGAATTCGTCTACTACTTATTGCTGAGGCTGTTGGAATCTACATTAAGAAGCCTAATATATGTGTCCAAAAGAAGCTAGTTCAGACATTGTCCTTGCCTTGACCTTCTAGGTTTTAATGATTCTCAGTTTTTTGTAGAAATCTCCTAGATTTTAGTTGATGTTCTATCTACTATTACATTTTTATGCTTTTTATTGTTTATTTATTTATTTAGCCGGAAAGAATCACCAACGACAAGAAACTATGAGAACAAACAAAACAAGAACCAATCGTCCAACAAATATGCAGGAGAAAGTGGAGATGGATTAGACACCCGCTGGGTGACATCGCGCGCGCGTCAGACCATTGCTCGAGTGGAACCCGAAAGGGAACCGGGAGGTGGGACGTCCAAGGGTGGCATAGAGGAAATCGTGTGAAGAGGAGTTGGAACAATGTGGACTAACACGGATGCAGGTGAAAAGCACAGCAGAAGACAGGTGCAAGTGGAGACGTGTAGTTGAAGCCCTATGTTCCACTAGGAACCCAAGAGAACAATAATAATGCATAAGAACTGTTTGGTGTTTACCCCAGAGATCAGATGGTCGGAAAGAATCACCAACGACAAGAAACTATGGGAACAAACAAAGGAAGAACCAATCGCCGAACAAATATGCAGGAGAAAGTGGAGATGGATCGGACATTCCCTGAGGAGACCGCTGGGTGACATCGCGCGCCAAGCCCTTGAGTGGAACCCGAAAGGGAAGCGGAGTGTGGGACGTCCAAGGGTGACATGGAGGAGATCGTGTGAAGAGGAGTTGGAACAATGTGGACTAACATGGATGCAGGCGAAAAGTATAGCAGGAGACAGAAGAAAATGGAGACGTGCAGTTGAAGCCCTATGTTCCACTAGGAACCCAAGGGAGCAATAATAATATAAATAATGTCAAATCAGTCAGTAATTCTAAATGGTTCAGAAACTTGTCGCAACCAACACCAGAAGCATTTCCAAGATGCTACTGGATAATTTCATCAACAGCTGCCTTCATTCCATACTGGATGTTAGATAGGATAGGCCAGAAAGGATTGGCAACAAGGAATTCTGGAAACCAGCCAACAAAATCTACCGAGAGAAATGGAGATGGATCGGCTACACAGTGAGTAGACCGTTGTTTGCCATCACTTGCCAGCCTAGTCCTAGAATAGAACCCAAATGGGGAAAGGAAGAGTTGGGTGCGGGCCTGGGAGTGACATGAAGGACATCAGAGCTTACAAGCAGTCGTGAAGCCAGCCAAGGACGACTGCAGAAAACAGGATGAAATGGAGATGTACTGTTGAAGCCTTTTATTCCACTTGGAATCTAAGGGAGTAAAAATAACATTGCATTTATTTTGTGATGTAATTTCTCAAAGTTTGGGGTGATATGAACTCATACATTTTTCTGTGCAAAGTCTTATAGTGATCAATCGGTTAGGCTTACATAAAAAGTTCTGCAGTACCATTGTGTGCTTCAGATGTGTACAATGAACAGTAATTATCTTTTAAATGAGGAATTCAAGATACAGTATTCACATGACATGTTGGTTCATTTTAATGTGAATTGTCAAGTTACACACCAAAAATTACTTTGTCCAACAGAGAATTAAAATTGTCTCTATGCACGGTAATTCATATAATCATGACAAGCATGAAAACCAAGAACATTTTTCTCACCTTTAAAAATTATATGAGCACCATTACCACCATCTCCACCACTAGGACCAGCGTGTGGATTACAGAAGATACGTCGAAAAGCAATACAGCCATTACCACCGTCACCGGCCTTTACAACAACTCGTTTGCTACAAATAAATGGGCGTAGCTAAAGTAGGGTTATTAAAAAGAAGAAACCAATTCTGATTTTATTGGTTGAAATCGCATTATGATGATGAAGTAAAACAAGAATATTAAAAGGTGGACATTAATATTCAGTTATGTTGAGCAAAAGTGAGAAAACATCTGCCAAGCTAGTTACAAACTGACATAAAAGACTTGACAGATTCACCGATTCATGTTATACTATTAGATACCAATAGTGTGAGTAGAGAAAGTCCAGGAAAAACTACACATTACGCAAAATAGTAAACTATGTAACCTAAAAACAATGTATGGTGAGTGTCGCTCAGAAATGATTACCATTGAAAATTTAAAGATTAAAAAAAATTAAAAACGCTTGGAAACAAAGAAATTGTTCATAAAAGGCTAAAACAAACAGAATATTTAAGCATTTTTAATAAACCAGAAGACTACAATATTTGCATCTCCTAGTTGACCACGATTACCGATGTGATAAGTTTCAACTTTCTGCATTCCCTCAACGTATTCAACAGGGGAAAATAATTTACTATGTGATTTCATAATCAAACCTGATACGATGCTAACCCACTAATTTGGTCTTCAGAGTGCGTTAGTTGTTCAAAGGCTTTAAACCCAAAAGTAATGGAAATCAAACTATCATATACAATGACACCTAATATTATTGTTTAAGAGAATGTCTTCGAATACCCAAAGCGAATCACAGTCCCTGAAACTCATGATTGAGATTAGGTTAAAGAAAAGTCTTGTGTCGACCAATTTAAAGGTCGACGGTAAGCTAAAAAATAATAGCGGAGCTAAATTTAGGTAGTCGATAAACCCGAACACACAATAATTGTGTCATTCTTTCATGACATTGACAAAACTAAATCTCTTACATATTTATATGCCTAGTACTAAGATACAACCACAATACTCATACGTACTTGCTCTGATAACTAAGTGTTTACTATAATGATGTAATTGAACTGTAATCCATTATAATCTTAATCTTAGTCTGCTGCATCCCTTCTCTCTTATCTATTTGAACTGGATCTGTAGAACACACATGGTTATCGTTTTGCATGTTTGATTCGATGTAATTTATTTACTAATCATATATCACCTGATGTATTCCCAAAAATGTATATAGATATATATTTGCCCACTTAGCGAGAGTCAGTTCGGCTGTAGAATACTCGTCAACCACGCATGTGGTGCAGGGTTCGATTCCTGGTAGGGAGGGAAAGGTAGGCGCGAGGTTAGGAATGTCAAACCGTAGAAAACCACTGCTACCGAAATTTCAAAGCTCAAGCTTGAGGTCCTATTTTTCACACTCGGAACGCAAAGTTATAGATTTTTTATAAATAAAGTGAGCAAGGTTTGAAAGTAAAAATTTAGCATACGTGTGACGCTGAGCAAAACACTGTATGAAATACAAGATATACCAGTTTTTAAATAAGTTAAAGCCATGTGGCTCAGTTATTTAACCACTATGAACCAAATCCGATCAATTCACTGAATTAATAATTAGTGTAATCAAAATGGAGATAGTGATTTACCAGTAGTTCATACGACAGTTAAGTGGTAGACGCGGTGGCCAAAGTGAATTTGACGCAAGTAGCAAGTAGAAACCACATCTGATAATCCACGAGATGGTGATTCAAAGCTTTTCACAACTTGGAGCTTCAGTTAACTTTAAACATAATCCCTGAGTACTAAGATCGGGCTATCCACCAAGGTTATCTTGAATAATTTACTTAGTACAACATTCCATTAGATTATTTCATTGAGGAATTGAAAGCTGCTTTTATTTACTACTTCCATTTCGATCTTTGGATTTCTCAAATTTTTTGAGGATCTTCTGGTCAGTAGAATACTACTCAAGAGTGATTTTTATACCTTGTTACAACAATTTCACTAGACATTTACTGCCTCTTAATGGATGGATTGGAGAAGCCAAAATGATTTTAAAGCCCCTGTTAAACTGCCTGATTGATACTATGATGGATAACGTCGCAAATTTGACATGCAATTTGTGAAAACAAAGCGCAAACATCTAGTTTTTAGTACACATCTGGTATAAGTGGAAGCACAGTCAATTCCTAGTTGTATGCTGATTATTAGCGCATAAAACACGAACAAGCAGAAGTACACTACAACAAACAGCCTTTACTGAGTAGTAGGAGTAGTACAAGTTGTCATATCTAATGTTTGTGAAGTAAGTAATAGAAGCAAGGAATGGGTTGAGCAATGAATGATTACAGAGTCTTGATATAATAGTGGAAAGAATAAGTCAAAGAAATAACTGTAACAATACAGCTAAGGTTAATACATCTGTACTACTGCGACTTATCCTGAAACTTGTTACATATTATGAATATGCAAATACAGGTCCCATTTATTTTGAATACCCAGTCAGGCAATCTGAACTTTCCCTTACAGCTTAGACTGACAGTCAATAACTTCATGGAGTCCTAATCCAATCCTACTACCAACGTTCATCTACGTGATATAAGACCTTTCTTAACTTTCAGGGTTACAAAGGTCTAACTGGTTCTTAAATCTGATGTAAAAGGTGAAGTATTAGAATGCATAGTTCGATCCCATTTAACAAACACGTTCCTGATACAATTTCAAGGGGACAAAAACTTACTGGACTATTCCTGACACCTAAACAAATGCACTTTGTTTCACCTTTTATGATATTAGTATCAAAGATGTAAGGTATAAAAACCAGACTCCCAGTAGCAGGTTTCTGTGTAGTATTGGTTGTTTATTGTGAAACCACAAAAGAATTACTTCTTTTTCTAAGTGAACATATACTGGGTGTCGTGATATGCACAACGTGTCAATAATGCCAAGTTCAGCAGTGAAAATAAATAATTCACCACTTTTCATGGCTGTTAATATGTTTAAAAGCAATAGTTTTCTCTTACCGTGTGTCCTGGAGCTCTTTTTTTGAAGTTTGGAAGATTACTATGTTCGAGCCTGATGAAAAGCTGTGGAACCAACTGAAAGCGGGAGAACATGGGGCCCGAAATCATATTCCAACATATGTGCATCCCCAGAATGAATCCAACAGAATTACTGGAAGTAAAAACAATAAACAACCGAATATATTGGTAGTCAATTTAACCTGGGTTGAATATATCAAACGTCCTGTAGAAAAGAACGAACTCAGAGTATTCCCTTCTGATTAAGAAATAGTTGATTTTTGAGTGACAAAAATAAAGACGAGAAAGAACAACATCAATTTTTTGATTTTCTGATTAGCAATTAATTTGAAGACTGCAATTTAACCATTCATGAAAGCATAAAAGTAACAATCTTGCAGTTATAAACCGCCAAGAAAAATGTTAAGTTAGAAGATTAATTCTAATATAGTGGCATTAGCGATTACTACCAACTTGCAAAAGAGACGTAAATAAATAGTACTTTATCTTTAATAGCTGTATGAGATTACAATAATTCTGGGCGACACCTATTTCGATAGCTAGTTCAAACTTAATAACAAATCTCGAAAATTGACCAAGGACAATAATGAGTTGATCTTTGACATCACTGTTCTGAAAGACAAGAAAGGAGGAAGAGTCAACAATTCGGTTTCATTCTTTTTAAGTATTAAGAAAAGACAAAATATTCGCGAGTCCGGAGCTGCAACCCATCATTTTCAAGCTTGACCTCCAACATGTGGGTCACGTAACAAGGTTTGAGTAGTTAGGTATTATCACTAGTCCTCAAACTACAGGTACGGCTGGTTGCCAACTGCATGGAATTGCAAGTGGTTGTCAAGTAACATTTCACTTCCTTTTTCCATTCACAATCCCCATCGAATAGGCTAGACGGCTAACCAGCAACTTTATTATTAAACCAACTGAACATGCTGTGAAGTTTCGAGACTATCTTCCCAAAACAACTTCAGGAGTAGTTTCAATGGGAAAAAGTAAAATATCCTTGACTCGCAAAGATCTCCTGGGACATATGATTGAAGTTACCACAAGAAACTCAAAAATGATTTTGTTAAGTTTGATTTTGCTTAGAATTTTAACTCTGTCCCGCTCTATTGCGTGGTTGTTTGTTAATGTGTGAAGTGCAATTGCTGAGCTGTTTTCTAAATTACTTATCCTTTCAGGGTCAACCATTCTTACCTTAGCTAAATTCTTATGTTCTTATAATCTAATTAGACAAAATAATATAATTTACAGAATACCCTGCAATGACTGTGAGTTCAATTACATAGGTCAAACTAGTAGGTCAAGGGTAGTTAGATTATCAAAACATAAGAATTTAGCTAAAGGAAGAATGGTTGCCCCGAGAAGATGAGTAATTTAGAAAAAAGCTCAGCGATTGCACTGCATGCATTAACAAACAACCACACGATAGGGTTAAAATTCTAAAAAGTAATATAAGTAGGTGAAGAGAGAGGGAGAAGTTGATTACTGAATCCTGGCTCATTGAGTCTATATCCAACACATGCAACAGAAAAAACTCAAAAATGTATAGCAATCATAAAGACATATTTGAAAGTGATACCGACCGAAAAACGCAACAAGTGCATTTATCCAAAAAATTTTTACATCTAAGGGCTCATTAAATCGTACCAGGTGTTTATATACATTAAGATCTATTATTTCTACTACATGAAATAAATAACGGTGCACCTCTGACTGATACGTTGGCACTGGTGAACGCTGGCTCGGCACATTTGACTTCCTCAACAATAAATTTCACCTTCTTTAGTGTTCATTATCAACCTTTTGGTAAGAGCTTTGAATAATCTATTCCATTTGTTGTGTATTCTGTAACATGACTTCGAGTCATAAATAAAACAATACCATCTAGCATTGATTTCGAGAGGACTGCAGAGAGTTTGAAGCAAACTGCGGATAACTACCACACCTTCTGCAGTGCACCCGAAAAATTCTAGCTGAGAATAAGGGAGTAGAAATTAAGAAGACAAGACCACCAAATAGCGGGACAAAAACATTTTTGAATGCCAGACGTGTAAATATATAAGAACGTTTGGAACTGGATGACATCTGAACTGGAAATAAGAGAAAACTCCTTAATATATATACATCAGGCTATATATTACAAAAGCTATGTGAGTAAATGCTAAAACTATTCATGTTAAGAAATTTCGATACACAGAAACGCAGAGTTCGAAGTTACACCTCTTCAAATTGAACGTCCAATATAGTTTCAGAATCAGATGATAAGCATGGTTGGTTCTTGTGGCCTATGTTAATCCTGGGAAAATATATCTCTGCAAAGATCTAACTTCCCCTCAAAATTGTTCCCTTATAGAGCTTTTACTACTGATGAAGTAAGTCATCTCCGTGAGTGTGCAAAATTTTGTAGTAGCCCGTTGGACGTCCTCATGCAAGGAGCCGTAGGCCTTCTTATGTCCAAGAAATTTACAAAGACCTCAGATGACAGGAAAAATCCAGTATCTGGTACCGATACCATGAATGGGGATTCTGGACTGAGTCACAAAACTAGGACAGAACAACTTCCCCAGGCTTTGAAAGATATAACAGAGGTGCTCATAAGCGTGTGCACATAAGACTGCAGCAGAACACAGACAGCTCAGAAAATCCAATAGGGCAAGCGATGACGACACTGTTAGAATACTGAGTGATAGTACAAGGAAGAAGCGTTGCGTGTCCGGTGAACGCACGGTGTCAATGGAGTTGAAGATTGAACGATCAATTCATGGTTGTTTGCTTAAAATCAACTTCCCCGATTTTCGCGGAGGCATCAATACGACAGTCATCGTCTCATCGGTCGCTGTTCAGAAAGAAGAGTGAAACATCGTCAGAAGTAATCTATGATTTATTATTGTAATATTTGTTTACAGACCTTAGTTCGCTTATTCCTTTTATATGTTGGTGTAACAATAAACAAATCTAAAGCGGCAGATCGGTGTTTTGGTTTTTTCGTCCGTTATAACTAAGCGTTTCTGAGAAATCTTCGAAGAACAGCGTGGGCCCGAGCGTAGCGAGAGCTGGGCATTAACGGTTTATGAGACGTGATTGACAGTTTCTGACGATAGAAACAGATCTGGCGGATTCAAACAGTTGGTGAAAGTTTGGATAGTCGCCGTTCATTTTCCTGGTGCCGGTCAAGTCCTCTTTGAACAAGCAATATCTGGAACTTTTTGGAATTGGGTCAAGTTCAACAATGCCTGGGTCAAAGAAGGGACAGAGTGTCTTGGATGCAAACAGGAAAGTAAGTCATGGTGACTTGTCTGTTAATTGTAACGATGTGTCTGATGTTAAGCATGACATGGTTGATGTTACTGTTTCGCCGTTCAGGGATAATAGGAACATCAAACTCCCTAAATTTGAACCACGGTGTTTTGATGGAAACCCGGCTGATTATTTACAATTTGTAAAGGAGTTTGAGATCATGTTGAGTGGTTTTTATTAAATGATGAATTGAAGTTAATGTATTTGATGAGATATTGCACTGGAGATGCTGCAAGAGCTATACAGTGCTGTAAGTTTATGAAGCCAAAAGAGGGCTACGATGAGGCTATGAGCATATTACGTCAAAGGTTTGGAAGACCTTCGATGATTGCAGGGAAATTATTCGAGGCTGTTAAGGGTAATGGTGGTCAATTACAGGATGACTCCCAGGCACTCACTGAGTTTTTAGATAATTTGCTAATTTACAAGAATGGAATGATTTCGATGAATCGCATGAGTGACCTCAACTCGAGTTTTATACTAGAAGTAATAGCAAGACGTCTACCTACTCGACTGCAAAGGAAGTGGGTGAAGATAAGCTCCCGTATGGAGGATGAGGGTATCGAGCCAAAGTTTGATGATATCCTGAAACTGGTAAAAGAAAGTGTCAATCAATCTATGAGCAAGTTCGCCAGTCTATTACATCTCACCCCTAGAATAGAGCAGTCTGAGGGAAAAACGCAATCATTGATGACGAATAGGCCTCAGAGAGGTGGATATCGAGAAGGCTCCATGATGTCTAGTAATGCATATAGACCTAGTGAGTGTAACAGGTTTCGTAGTACATCCTCAACAGATAAGTTGCAAGATGCAAGACAAACACGGTTGTGTTTACACGTTTGCAAGAGGTGCATACAGAAGTGAACTGTGAACCAGTGAGCAAGTTCAGTGATAAGCTAAATGTAAACTCCAGGCTGACTCCGAATTGTGTGACGATAACGGTTTGGTCAGGAAGTCTGTAGTTGCAACTGGTAAGCCATTGTTGAATAGAGTGTCACAGAATAGAGTTACTGCTTCAGAGTGGAGTTCTGACTCCACAAGTTTACAAAGTATAACTAGTCAGAGTGAAGATGTAAAACCTTTAATGATTTGTGAGGAGGAACCAAAATTGTCTACTTCTGTTATTAAAGAGTTTGAAAATGATGAACTTGACGGTAAATTGAATATTTGTGGTAATGATCATGATAGTGCAGATTTGTCTTTGGTTGATCATGATGAGATGAGGGATATGCCTACTACTGCTAAGTTAAATAAAGGTTCTGTACAACTACAACGTGAAGTAGAATTGAACGCAGATGCAGTTCCAGAAGGTGTGCATACTTGTGAGACAGTCAGTGTAATTGATCAGCGTGTAGCCCACCTATCATCAGATGATAGTGCTAAACCCGAACTAGTAGTGAAAGACAGCAGTGGTGGTAATCTTGCAGTTGGACAACTATCTGAGAGCCGAAAAAGAACAGCTTCTGATCCACCACTAAGTTCATCACCTTGTGTCACTCAGTCATCGTTGGTGTTTTCATCCACAATGAAACAGATGCCCATCAACTCAAGTATCTTGTGCAATGACTATGATAGTATTGGTGCGTTTGAAAAGACGAAAGTTATTGCTCAGTTTAGTGAGAATAAGCCAAGTGTAAACGAGAGAGTTATTGTTAAATTGACTTGCATGAATAAAGGCATTTCTAGTTTCAAGTTACTAATTGAATGCTATTATCTTTGGTGTAAATTACTCTGTTTCTACATTTGGTTGATGAGATATGCCGTGTGTTTGTTCGTCATCTATATTCTACGATACAATGACATGGGCGTGTTGCCGTTCAGATTTGAGGATTTAGCTCATAGAAGGAAGTCAGCAAATGAACTCTGCGACGATTTTCCAACCTAGGGCGTCAACCTGAGAAGGGTTGTAGGCGTACTGCTGTAAGTCGTACAGTTCTTCAAGGGTAGTTTGTCAGGCCGGAATCCACAACATTTGATGTGTTGATTGTACATATGTTTGTGTTAAATAGTTGTGTGAGTTCCAATTGATGTAATTGTTGGTTAATCTTGTTTGTGTCCATACATTCCACAAATTACAATCGTCAACCTGAGAAGGGTTGTAGGCGTACTGGTGTAAGTCCTGCAATTCTTCAAAGGAATTCCACCAAGACATGATCGGCGAGGTTGTTTGTACTATTTGTATATACGTGTGATGTGTCATAGCAATTGGTGTATTTTGGATTCATTGTGTTTACTTGTTGTTTTCGTGTCTTGTTGTTATTGCGTAATTTTGTTAAAATTTTCGTCGTGATTATTTCTGAAGTTGTTTCGAGTCTTCTACATCCGTGAATGAATTGATTGATGTTAAGGACAGCAGATGGGGCGTATACGCCGGGGAGGCTAGGCTATTGCTGAGAATGAAATGCACACGGAGATAATTGTTAGCTGCGGTCCGACACGTCGGGGAGAAAGAGTGTAAACGGCTGAGGATCGCATACATCACCGTTACTAGAACTGAGGCAGAATGAGTGACAAGCGATTGCAGTGGTAATTGGTAATGAGTAGATAAGAGGATGTGAGTAGAGTATCATGAGTTGGTGTTATGGTCACGTTGCATTCTGCAAGAGTCATTCTAGCAAATGGCGATTGTGTTGCAAGATGTCAAGAGGAGGTCTCTGTCTGGAGGCGCAGGTCGTCATTGATGGGTGAGATTGTGCTGTGAGTATGCTTGTGGTGTGTTGGCTTTTCCGTTTGTTTTCCATTTCAGCTCTGTCCGTTTGACCCAGGTTCTCGCAATGGCATCCAAGTCAACGTGTATTGGTCGTGAAGGAGAAAAGGGCTGGATCCGTATTTTGCCGGGGAGTGTCAATGTAGTTGAAGATTGAACGATCAATTCATGGTTGTTTGCTTAAAATCAACTTCCCCGATTTTCGCGGAGGCATCAATACGACAGTCATCGTCTCATCGGTCGCTGTTCAGAAAGAAGAGTGAAACATCCTCAGAAGTAATACAATGATTTATTATTGTAATATTTGTTTTCAGACCTTAGTTCACTTATTCTATTTATATGTTGGTGTAACAATAAAGAAATCTCAAGCGGCCGATCGGTGTTTTGGTTTTTTCGTCCGTTATAACTAAGCGTTTCTGAAATCTTCAAGGAACAGCGTGGGCCCGAGCGTAGCGAGAGCTGGGCATTAACGGTTTATGATACGTGATTGACACACGGCTTGCAACTGCTGCGACAACAGAATGGAATCAACTGATTCCACTTGGCTGTACATTCGTGTATTTATATCAAATCGATAGGAAACTTCCAGAATAATATCCGGTCAAGGGTCAAATTAGTAAAAATTAAAATTAGGAATCAGAATGCCATAATAAACAGGGG